ATACATGCGTGAGTCTGAATTGAGAACAAATCTATGTTAGTGAGTCTGAACTGAGAACAAATCTATGTAGGCGAGTCTGAATTCAAAACCAATCTAGATAGAGGAGTCTGAATTGAGAACAAATATACATGCACGAGACTGAATTGAGAACAAATTAATGTTAGTGAGTCTGAACTGAGAACAAATCTATGTAGGCGAGTCTGAATTCAAAACCAATCTACATAGAGGAGTCTGAATTGAGAACAATACTATGTTAGTGAGTCTGAACTGAGAACAAATCTATGTAGGCGAGTCTGAATTTAGAACAAATCTGCGTAGGGGAGGTTGAATTGAGAACAAATATTCGTAGGTGGTCCTAAACTGAGAACAAATTTACATAGGCAAGTCTGAACTGAGAATTTTTTTTTTTAATTAGTCAGAATTTGATTACACCATATTTAAGACAGTCTAAATTTTGGTCTGTTAACATGTTTTTGTGATTTCATGTGTGTGTTCTGGCTGAAATTCTCTTCATACCATTCCACTGATCTGATCTAATGTCAGAAATATGGCCGAAGCTTTTCCCAGCTTATCCCACCAAAGGAGCTGGCAGTCAGCACTGATGCCAGACAGCGCCAGAACCCATGCAAGAGCTGATTTTGTTATCTAATGAACAAATTACCAAGAATAATGCTATTTCATAACCTGGTGCTTTTGGAAGCTGTGTGTTTAGATGTTCATTTCTGGAATTAGGGAAGTAATTGAGTCGTAGATCCAGCTGCCGCTGCCACCTGTGTGTGTGTGTGTGTGTGTCAGTGTTTGTTTTTGTGTGAGCATGTGTGGGTGGTTACCCAGAGATTCTGGATTTTTTCTGACTACAGTCACACTGGGAACATGAGGATTTTAGAAGACTTACAATTCTATCTCCCATTGTTCACTGTAATGCCATGAAGTCAGAAAAGCCATGACTGGATGGTACTAAACGATTACAATTCCATGCGTGATGTCCTGTATTTGGATTGGCCACAGTTGTTTGCTCAGACTGATAGCTTTGTGTATTCATATAAAAACTGCCAAGGTGGAAAAGTTCTCACATCTTTATGTCTGCACTGCACATTTGGGTGAGTTTCAGCAAAATGTACCTGTACAAAGCAGTTTGCAGCGACATTCCCAGCCCTAGAAAAATACCTGATTTTAGGTTGGCATTAATTTTCTAACAACTATTAACTATTACAAATTGCATTTTTTAAATGCATACATTCTATTTGAAATCTCCGCTTCGCGTCGTGGCTGCATCACCACCTCGGGTGTGCATTATTTTCTAATAATTCAACGGCAATTATTCCTTACTTGTGGAGTAGAATTCTACAATTGTGTGTGCAATGTGTCTGTATTGTTTTGGTCGTAATGTCAGGACAAAAATATGCCTTTACCCACTGAAATGTAATGAAATATAGTCTATACTAGGAAAGAACTTTCCTAGCCAATAGAATTACACATTTTAATATCAGCCAACTAAACTTTGTTCAGAGGGCTAAATGGTCCCCCCAGCTCCAGTGCCAATGGTTGTTTCTATTACATTTCACTATAATATAGTGCAGCCCACATCAGATTTTCACATTTAATTGTGTTTCTAAATCAGTGACTTTCTCGACTGTTCTTAGAGAGGAGAAACTTATGATAATGTAATCTGGATAAACTAAGACGTTTAAAATGAGGGAGCGATGTCCTAGGAAGGCTCTTGCAAAACCATGTTTGACAAAACTAATTTCCTGTTAGAGCTCTTTATTTAGACGAGAGTGTAATAAAGTGGGTGATCTCTGACTGAGTTTCATTATCAGGGGGACGTTTAGAGAGATCTTTGTCTCAGGGTGCCAGAATAGTTTTTCCATCAGGGGACGCCAAAGTGTGACAGTCTCAGATTAAGCTCACTTTAATGACACACTTACACTTAGTTAAGACTGTCAGACAGAGTCGGGCCGTTCAGCTACAGTCCTGGAGGGCCATGCCATCAGTCCATGTCTGTTTGCTTTGAGGTCATCTATATGTGTAGAAAAATTGTAAATGCAAAAGTCTCAAAAAAATGTTTCAGCAAATCGGCCAATAATAACATTATATATGACTTAGTCTATTTTTGCTCTGACAACAAAGCCACAGCAGAATAAACCATACATCTCATCTCATAACAACATGAAGTAGTTTTGTTCTTGAAGTAATTGTCTGCATGAATTATTTAGCGACTCACCCATAAGGACAGTCACTTGTTTCGTTACTGAATGAATCAGTGTTCTTGATTGAAGCATTTAAGTGAATGAATTAACGAGACACTCATAAAGACAATCACTTGTTTGGTTATTTTACTATTTTTATATACTATTTGTTTCGGCCTTTGTTTTGGCCGCGGAAGCATGGTAGCGGGCTTTGTATTGAACGCACTTCATTCCATGAAACGCTTATTCTTTCTTCTCATTTATTCAGATAAATAATTGACCAACAAAAACATATTAAAATTAAGATACAAATTATACCAAACGAAACTCGTTCGAAAAAAGGGATTCTACAAACAAAAACGTATGAAGGGGTCAAAAAATTACTGCCGTCCAATTTACCACGCCCTTATGACATTTACAATTTTCTTAATTAGCAAATTAAACTAAACAAAACACAAACAAATAATATTTAAACATAAATAATATAAAATAAAAATACTTTCTTAAATGGCTACAACACTGTACATATTTTGAGTAACTGTTTATTTTTATATTTTCAATTTTCAGTCTGTCTGTGTGTAACCTTTTTTCTGGGAAATATTTTGCAAATTGAGCAAAGGAAAGAAAACCGCTTATTAAGTGATTTCATGGCTCTTACTCAAGGGTTAGGTGGCCTTGACCCGGGGTTCAAAATGTACTGTAATTATATATTTGGTATTATTTGAATGGCAGTTCTGTAAATTCGGTCATTATGACCAAATTATGTTTTGGGAGAACATCACCAGTGAATATTCTTTGGAATTTTTCTTTGCCAGCTAGGACAGGTTTCAGGCTGGTTCTGTCCGGTTTTCTCATATATGGCAATAGGTTCCTGTCAGGTTCTAGTTTGTCATTTCTAAAGCCCCTAACTTATTTTGTGTGAGAGTCTGTGAAGTTGGGTCTACTTCCTGAGAGAGGAAATAAAAACGTTTTCAGGTTTGATCAGGTTGAGTCTTTAATATCTGAGCGCACTAGTCAGGTTGGATCACATGATCTTGTTTACGGGCCAGATTCAGGTTTTTAGTTGATGTCTAGCTTTGAGCTCCCTCACTGAATGGCATGTTTTGTTCAGTCATTGTTATAATCCCACTGCAGCACAATGAAGTTTCAAGGAAAGCATTGTGGGACACTGTGTGACCTGACAGGAGTGTCGTTTACTGCTTTTAGGATGGTTATGCTCAGCTTTCACATTAATGCTGCATGTTATGTTTCATTTTACAACCAGATGTCAGTAACATTAGTCAGTAACATCTTTCAGGGGTTTAATATATGCTAAAAAAATATCAAGATGTCGAATCAATGCTTAACTGTTCCATCACACCCTTTTTCAAGTTTTTGCAGTGGACTACATGTGGCACACTGCAAAATGAGAATGACACCTGTACTATAAACGTATTCAAGCATATCACACTCATACATACACACGTAGTCCCATCCAGATGGATTGTCTTCACTCTCAATGTTGAGCGCAGCACTGAGCCGCTGGTGAGAGACTGCAGTTATTTCAGTATCATTGCAGTCTCTCTCTCTCTCCTCCCTCCTTATAGTCTCTGATTGAGCATCATTCTCACATGCTATGCTTTCATGCCTCCTCTTTCACACTCACTCTCACTCTCTCCATCTCTGTTAGCCTCACTTTCACTTACAGCCCCAGTGATCATGCCGCATCCCTCTCTCCCTCTGTCCTCTTCTCTGCCTGTCTGCTTTCGTTTAAATATTTCTTCATCAAACTGACTCTTTTCAGGGCCAACCGAATCGCATTCGCCTGTTTTTGGAAAGAGGACATTTAGATGCGGGACGCGGCGGGTTTTTCACCTTCCAGCTCACTTATTCTGGACGGGTTTTGGGAGGGGGTCTAGTTCCATTTTGGAGTTTCAGGAATACATCAATCGTCCGGTTTTGAGTGTTTTCCCAGAGTTCCGGAGTCTGTGGCATAGCTGTGCGTCTCCTGAGGTGCACTTGGACTGCTTTTATAGTCTCGGTGAGGAGCGTGGGCTGAAGAAAACCCCCCTCAGCCCGTCATCAGCCCGAGTAGGAATACCGTTGAGGGTCAGCTAAGATCAGTGGAGGGGAAAGAGTGACAAAAGGAGGCAAAACGAAGAGGCAAAGCAGCATCGCACAGGTTAAGAAGAGCTTCAAACGTCGCGGCACAAACGGGATCAGCTCCTGTTGGGAAAGAGAGCAAGAGTTTCAGAAAGAGAGAGGCATTTCATTTGTAAACTCTATAAACTCTTCAGTACTTGAGAGCCAATCCAGAACTCTTCAATCAATCCTGATACTTTTGGGCTTCCAGGACAAGCTGTGTCGGTTTTTCCTGCTCAAGTTCCTTTGCAGTTAACAGCCATGCAGGTGTCCTTCGCGTGTACGGATCACGGGTTGAAGGCCCCGCGCACCAGCGAGCCGAGAGGACATTTAGATGCGGGACGCGGCGGGTTTTTCACCTTCCAGCTCACTTATTCTGGACGGGGTTTGGGAGGGGGTCTAGTTCCATTTTGGAGTTTCAGGAATACATCAATCGTCCGGTTTTGAGTGTTTTCCCAGAGTTCCGGAGTCTGTGGCATAGCTGTGCGTCTCCTGAGGTGCACTTGGACTGCTTTTATAGTCTCGGTGAGGAGCGTGGGCTGAAGAAAACCCCCCTCAGCCCGTCATCAGCCCGAGTAGGAATACCGTTGAGGGTCAGCTAAGATCAGTGGAGGGGAAAGAGTGACAAAAGGAGGCAAACCGAAGAGGCAAAGCAGCATCGCACAGGTTAAGAAGACACAAACGGGATCAGCTCCTGTTGGGAAAGAGAGCAAGAGTTTCAGAAAGAGAGAGGCATTTCATTTGTAAACTCTATAAACTCTTCAGTACTTGAGAGCCAATCCAGAACTCTTCAATCAATCCTGATACTTTTGGGCTTCCAGGACAAGCTGTGTCGGTTTTTCCTGCTCAAGTTCCTTTGCAGTTAACAGCCATGCAGGTGTCCTTCGCGTGTACGGATCACGGGTTGAAGGCCCCGCGCACCAGCGAGCCGAACAAGCAGAACACGTCGAGTCCGAACACGGCCAGCGCAGCACGGGCACGGTTCCGAACGGTGGCGCTGATCGCCCGAAGCCTGGGCTCCTTTGCGCACAGGCACCACATTTCCCTGAAAGAGTCAACTGGAAAACTCACTGGCATGAAGTACAGGTACAGAAAACTTCTGGCAACCACCGAAAATTTGATGATAACATTGTAAAATATCAGTTATGACACAGTTTGAGTGTGTCAATTGAGAATTCAGTTTTAACACCGACAGGTATAGTTTTGATAACTCTGATCTTTGTTATTATTTTTATTCTCAGAAAGACATGCAAAATGTTTCTATAAAAATAGCAGTTTACTCTGTGAATGTACAGATTTTACAACTTGTTCTAGTAAACCCTGTCCTTGAAATCTTAAGCGGATATTTCATCCAAAAAAATTAACATTTTGTTAATTTACTCACCTTCATGTTGTTTCAAACCTGTATGCATTTCTTTCTTATGTACAACACAAAAACAGATATTATGAAGAATGTTAATAACCAAAAAGTTCTGGTTCCCATTAACTTCCACAGTATATTTTGTTACAGTGGAAGTCAATGGGTACTGAAACGGTTTGGTTCTTTAAAATATCTTCTTTTATGTTCCACAAACGAAAGAAAGTAATGCAAGTTTGAATTTCGTTTTGCGTGAACTTAAATGTTTAGTTTTTGTTTAATGGAGTGTTTAATAAAGTGAGTTGGTGGAGTGATTGATGAAGTGAAAAGTAAATTGTGATTGGCTCCATTGTGAACAGTAGATTACTTTATTACGCACTCAACACAAACAGTGGTTTCTCGTCTTGTGTGTGGAATACTGCATTGGAGGAAAGGCTGCAGAGAGCTGAAATATTTGGGGGGGGTGTGTGTGTGTGTGTGTGCGTGTGTGTGTGTGTGTGTGTGTGTGTGAATTTGAGAGGGAGGTGTGAACTAATGGTTTTTGTGCTGGAAATAATTAATTGCATCTGAGACACAAGTATACCACAAGCATGCAACAGTTATCACATATCTGCTAGTTTCCATAACGACAGAGAACTAGTGGTTTTCCTGCACTTTACTCTAATTGGACACATTAGCTGTTGGACAGGGGTCATAATTGGGCAGTAGGGTAAACCTGATCACCCTCGGCTGACATCCAGCTTCACGCACTCATGTTTGACATTTATTACTTTTCTACACTTTCATTGAATTAATTGTGTGATTAAAAGTCATGTGGAAATTAGTTTATCCTGATAATTTGAAATAAGATTTTGATGTACTATGAAAACATACGGTCACTTTCAGAACAGATATTATACATATTATAATTCCTGAACAGCAGAAGAATTAATGATAAAATTCAATGTAGGGAAACCTTGTGCTGTTCTCGGTTGTTTGTAGCTCCCACTTCTATAACCTTTCCGAAGGATTCCAGTGTTAGGAAAGTGTGGCTGAAGCTTATTTTTAACCAGATCCATGTTATTTTAATTTTGAGAGTTTATGTGGCACATTTCAGCAAGGATTGTTTTGTGAACGTCACAAGGTAATGCTGGCATTGCAGAGAGGTTGTTATTGAAAGATGGAGCAGTGCAAACTACATCAATCCTGTGCTCAGTGTGCACAGAGCTGTTCATTTTACTGTTTAAAGGGACAGCAGTTAGATAGGTTATGTTTTTGAGAAAGGGTGAGAAAATAGCCATCCAAAACTAAATTATGACTACAATTATGATTTTGGTGCAACATTATACATTATTTGCATCATATCATATATGAATCATTTTATATAATATATTTATACTGTATATATATTATATGCACATGAACCTTTTTTTAAATAACAATGTGAATATAAGCATGAAAAAGCAGAGGAGACTTTTTTTAACCTTATTTTGACTTATTGAGGTCATAGTCAAATCACATAACAAAACAAGACATTTCAAACCATCAGAGGCTTGCAGGGCACAACTTCTTGCAGAGAATTCTTATAGGTTGTTTTCACAGGGCAAGGTTACGCTTGAGTAATGGCCCTCTGTTTATCGGATATCCCGGAGAACAAATATCTGTCTCTGTGGTTTAATCAGCTGTCACTCACTGTGATTTAATCTTTAGAAATAGCAATTGCTCTGACAGCGTAGAACCTCGGGTGTTTTTGTAAACATCACATTTGTGTAGAAGAAGTGCTGCTTACATTTTAATATCTTTCTGTTGCATAAGAGTGTGTGCCTTTGATTTAGATTGTGTGTTTGAAGTCAGTGGTCAGAATGAATGTATTTGAATAATGTGAGACATGGAAGTAAATTGCTGTTCCATCTCTGGGTTTGTTCTGCTCAGGGTCCAAACTTAATGTGCCAATGGCAAATATCGAGAAAATGTACAGGCCATTAATATGTTTTACTGTATTTTGCATAATTTCCTTATTTTACTTTTTCCATTTTTTATGAAGCATCATATACTGGATAATTTTGTTCCTCATTTTAGTCAGGTTCAGACTTTATTTGGGTTGCATAACCATAGGAATGTGTCACTGCATGGAATAAATCATAAAAAAAAAATTTACTTTTTATTTTATTTTAAAATTACATATTATATTATATATTATAGTATAAAAAATAGCATAACAGTAAAAACTAGAATTCCTATATTGTGCTTAAGCTGTATTATTTTGGAATTCTGAAAAATGTTACTGTCAAATTCAATTTACTCTCCAAAACAAAAAATATTGCTCTCATTTCAAAAGTTTGTCATCATAACCCTGTCTGTCCTATAACAAATCTGGGCAGTAAGGCTTTTTTCAGTGTTCTCGCTCTCTTTCTGTCTCACTTGCTCCGAATTTATAAATGACAAGAAACCTTAAGATACAGTTTAAAACATTGATGTCCACATATTTGTAAAGGCCATATGTTAGTGTGTCCAAGGGATTAAGCATTAGCATTGTGTGTGTATTTGTATCTCTCTCTTTCATTTTCTCAATTAATAAAAGTGTAATTCTGCCTGGTATTTCTGAATTCCCAGCTCTAAAGCAAACAGTTGCAGTGTTTCATAGCTCACTGGCCAGTGCTGCAGTCCAGATGGGCAGTCGTGCTGTGTGTGTGTGTGTGTGTGTGTGCATTTTTCCTTGTCATTGTATTTGTGTGTGGGCTTCTGTTTTCTTGGCCATTGGCCTATTAGAAATCAATCAGTGTATGTGTTAGTTTCATTTAGCTTGTAAGCATTTTTCTTCACACCATAATGGTCCGTTGTGCACATGTGTGTTATTGCGATCTTAGATCTATCAATCTATCTATCCATTGTTAGTTAGTTAGAAGGTAGGCAGGTAAATTATATGTTTTAAGCAACATTAGGGTGAGTAGATGATTATATCATTTTCATTTTGAGTGAACTATGCCTTTAATTGTCAGATGAGCTCTGGGCTGCTCAGACACTGCTGAGGGACTAAACCTGATTTTGCTGGAGAGAGAACTGAGGACTTAGAAAATCTCTTCCTGCTCACAGTTACCCATCTGTTAATAATCGTATTGTGTTATTCATTTGCTGATGAGGCTTAATAGTTTTGTTTTTAAAACGATTTCATTTTTATTAAAAGACTGCACGCATACATTCACACACACAGTGGTAATATTATTCAGATCCCACCCGCACGCACACACACAGTAGTTCCCCTGACTGCTCTAAATTCGTTATCAATTCTGTTTTACGATGGATGACTACAGTATCACTAATGAGGCTTCACACTCACACACACTCTCACAAGCTCGTACTCCTACAACAGTCTTGCTGAAATGCTTTGGACGCATCCTTTTAACGGTCATACTGATAAATATTCAAGTGCTTCTCTTTTATCTGTCAGGTCCTCCAAATGCTGCATGTCGTTAGTTTATTAATAAAACCCTTACAAAAAAGTACTGTGACGTGCCAGAGTACTTTAGTATAGTATTTTTGATGCATGATACATGGTGTTTTGGATATGGTACTGTACCATGGTACTACCATAGTACACTAGCGTTCTAGAGTTTGGTGTCAGTTCAATATTTTTTCATGAAAAAAAACCCCACATGAAATCGATCACTGTGAGAAATCACAGTAAAGAAATGTATGAGGTAAAAATATTTTATAATATTACGGTTTTACTGTACTTTCGATCAAACCAGTGCAGCATAGTGAGCATAAGAGACTTCTTTCAAAAACATTTAAAAATCTTAAAGACTCCTACAGACAAACTTTTGAATGGTAGTGTGTTTTGAACGTTTACTATGTTAGTAATATGGTATTCTCGGAATACCATATAAAAACCATGATCCATGAATTTCAGTAAAAAAATGGTTTGTACCATGGTACGGCAGTGGTATCACATGTACTGCTATGTTATTTTTATATATAGCATGGCACTGAAATTCATGTATCATGGTACACAGTTTATGGTACTCCAAGGTACTTACAAAAATACCAAGGTACTACTAAGGTATTCTGAAAAATAAATACCATGGTAACATATCCAAAAAACCACGATGTTAGTAATGGTATTACCATGGTTCACGGTAAACCATGACACTATGATAGTGTCTAAAATGTGGTACCAATTAAGTTACCATGGTACCATGTTCAGAATAACATGTAATTTCTATGGACACATGGTGATACCACACCTCGTAACTGATAGATGTGATTCTGTGTTTTTGTGTTATGTGTGTTTTGAGCATCCAGTCAAACACATGTACAAAAAATCAGACCTGCTTTCCTGTCAAGACACATGTTCTTCATACACCTTCGTCTCTACGGTGTCAATTAAATGATTCATACAGTTTCCATTGGCTTGCTGAGGCATTTCTGAGCTCTTCTGTCATGCAGTGTCTCAGTTCTTCAGCTCTCTGACTCAGCTTGCTGTGATGAGGAAGGATCTGTTGACACCCAACAGTGTGCGTGTCTGCTACCCGGAAAAAAGACAGGCCTACACACCCATCACGCGGAGAACAGGGAGTTTTAAATTATATATGTCTGCAGCTGAGAATGTGCTGTGGTTGTAATGTCACACAGACTAATAATGGCTGGGAAAACAAAAGACAAAAAATATTGATAGGCCTACACACCCATCACGCGGAGAACAGGGAGTTTTAAATGATATATGTCTGCAGCTGAGAATGTGCTGTGGTTGTAATGTCACACAGACTAATAATGGCTGGGAAAACAAAAGACAAAAAATATTGAGTGGGAGATTATGTTTGGTGACATCCATCGCTTTTGCAACAGCTGCATCGCTGTGAAGGATGAAGATGCCATTTATAAAGACTACAGATTTGTCTTATTTGAAAAGGCAATAATCTGAGAAGCTTGACCTGACCTGCAGGGACAAGATAGAATGATTAAGTAGGTCTTTTTTTTTTACAGAGTGTATCTGTTAATTTTGTTTCATGCTTACCCAGATCATTTAAGGGGATGATACGCAGAAAGTTGGAGACGGATCTGTTTGGAAGGGAATGTGAACTGTGCATGCCGATTTGATATTCTCACCATAAACTGAAAACCAGGGGGTGGGTGTCCGTGAGCCAAAATCAATGTTCTTGGTTTCCCTCCAAATGCATACTAACTAATATTCTGCGATTGCTTCACAACCGCACAGAAATATTCAAGTACCATGTCTGGTTGTTCCTCCTAAAATAATTCCCCAAAATGCAGAAACTCCATGTTGATTGTCTTATTATGATTCAAAATCAGGTTCTGAGACTGGCAGGTTTGGATCCAGACATCAGGAGCGGTTGCTCTGGTATTTTTTAACTAAAAAGAGAATGTGAGCGGTGCAAAACCCGCCACCACGATGTTAAGGTGTTGTGGGTGGTTGCCAGGATGTTGCTATGTGGTTGTTAAGGTGCTCAGAGTGGTTTTTCATGATCTGCTCTGCGTTTGCTTGGATTCTCTGAGTGTCTCTATGATTTTGCCGTCAATAAATATGGCTCAGATCCCTCCTTCAATGTAAGTATGGTATTTTTCATCTACCTTTTGAAAATTGTAAATCCAATTGCATAGAAAAACAATATCACAACCTCTCCTCAACAATACACATTATCTGAAGTGTCGTTTAGTTCTGTAGCACAAGCAAATTACATGCCAAAGTTTATTGCTTCAGTGTTTGTTCAGATGGATGGATGGATACATACGATGGATGGGTGGATGGATGGATGGAAGGATAAACGGCCAGATGGATACTATAGATGGATGGATGGATGGATAGATAGATAGATGTCCTTCCTGCATTCAGTAAAACACACACCAACTGTTCATCATAATTACAGGAAGCAAACAATCATTTAAGTAATTTGAGGACAGTAGTGGTGAACCTAGAACAATTTGATTTGTGGTGAAGAGCTGAGGTGTGGGTTTAAAGTGAATGAGGTGTTATCTCTGACTCAGTCAGGCATTAAGAGGGAGCCACATATCAGAGTAGAGGAAATTTTAATGTTGGAGGAGTTGAAATGGATTGCTGAGGTTTTACTGTAGATTGAAACCAGGGCTGCTGTTAAAGTTACATCCTCACTCTGATGAATAGAACTGTGGCTAATGTATTTTATATTGTAGCCAATAAGATGATCTTAATAGGAGGCTAAAACCATAAAAAGATCAGATCCACGACTTTGGGGCATAAATACCAGCCGGTCATTTTGTGTGGGTGCATTCACATGTACTTTTTAAAGCTATTAAAGAGTTTTGTTCTCTGATAATAACTATCTTAAATCACTGAAGTGCTGTAAGAGTCACAACGGTCTCTATGGATCAAGTATTCAGTTGTTGTCCACACTGAGAGAAAGTTAAAATGGTTTAACTTTTTGGACTCTATGTCCAAAAAGAAGGTCCATTAGTCACATGCACCATAGTGGGAGGTCATGAATGCTTTTTTGAAAACCAAATAGCAGAAACATGCTTGAACAGTTATTACCTTAGAGGTGGCTTTTTAACATTTTAATTTTACTTTAACTTTTAAAATAAAAGTGTTCAGTGTACAATGAAAACATTTCAGCGTGTATTCATTCATGAACCTGTCACAGTTAAACGTTATTGAAGGTTGGGTCTTCATCAAAGCATTTTCTGAACATTTTTAAGATTTTCTAATTATAAGGATGCATACATACAGTACCTATTTTATTAAAAAAAATTTACTTTATAATGTGTATTTTTCTTATGAAAATAAAATAAAATATCATAAAGGCACTAGAGGCACAGTATGTTATGTCTTTGATAACAGTTTTTCCCACTCTCTCTCTCTCCACAGGAATCTTGGGAAGTCAGGACTGCGAGTATCATGCCTTGGACTCGGTAAGCATTTTTTGATTTATAAACCAGCAGCCATTAACCATAAAACACCAAAAGGTCGCACTGAATATAAGTACTATAGATCAGTGATACGTTCACACAATGTGTTTCAATGAAGTGCAGGCAACAGCGTGTGTTTGAAGAGTCACATGATCTCGAAAAAGTTGTCCTCCCTCCATTCATATTTAATTTATCATGAATTAAAACACAAGCTCACTAATTGCCTCACACACTCCACACACAGCAGGAGAGTGATGGGTTGAAGCTTAATTTATTCTCTGTTCCCTTTTATTTTTACGAATAGATGGTTTTGTTAACAAGCCTTGTGAACTAAACACAATGACTGTATAAATCTGTTGTTGACTTCTCTTGAGATATAAACGCAGTGTGGCTTAAATAGCAGGAGGTTCTAATGCTACAGGACTCATGCATGACTACGCAAGAGAGCATGTTTGATTCAGTTCATTCCAATTTGTGCGTTTATTTTTATCGCTATAAATCAATGCAAGACACACAAGAAAATTACAGAATCAGTTCATTAATTAATTAAATGCAGGAATTGTAATGGTGTGTTAAAAAATTCAGTTTATGTTTCACCTCCAAGAGCAAACCATCTCTGCTCTCATGAAAACCATAGGGCATTGGAAACGGAATTGGTTGGTGTGGACTGAACTAGGATAAGTGAACTGGCTTTTATTGTTGTCATACTAAAGGCTTTCAGTAAGAGCATTGAGGAACAAACAGCTGCTATTCCACCATAAAAAAAAGCCCTGGACTTATCTTCACAACACATTTCCAAATGGTGTCTCTCTTATCCTAGATCAGATTCTTCCTCTGTATGAGTCCTTCCTCCTTCCTGCATCCAAAAATACAATTTTAAAATCTTATGCTCACCAAGGCTGCATTTAATAATAAAAAAAACAGTAATATTGTAAAATATTATTACAATTTAAAATAACTGTTACATGAGTTGCATTGCATGAAGTTGCTGTCAGCCGAAATGGTCAAACTCTCAATAGCCCCTTTCGAATAGTAATACCAGTAAATTGCCATAAAATTACTGGAACGTCCTTACCAGTAAATACAAAAATGCGCTGTTCACAACGGTGTTGGGTGTGTAAACATCGAGGTATATGAGGTCAGTGTTTGTTGATGTTTTAATTTTTATGTCAAATGTTCACATTCATGCAGCTGCTTTTGGCCCAGAGACATCGTATTAGACGACTTCAAACTGAACTACACAACATGGAGTAAATGTCTCATCTACATCAGAATGTTATGATTGGCCCTGAATGTTATGAGCGTTCTGAACTTGTATGTGCTCATACCGGTAATCTTGTTCTGCCGGTAATTTACTGGTAATGTTACAACTTCTCATAACGGTAAATTGCCGGAACGAATTTACCGGTATTTTTGAAAAGGTCCTGTTCACACATGATGAAAGGGGCTAGTGAATGTGAATGAAATGGATTTAAGTGGCTTTTAATGTTATTTATTTGCAAATGCTTTCTGTATTATTTTAGCACACAATTGAGTACGCAAATCAGCAAACAGAGCAAACATGCTCACAAAAAAGCTGTGCTGAATGAAACTTGCGACTTTTGAGAATAAAACTCAACCAATCAAGGAGCTCGCACCTGGTTATTCACTGGTGGTTAGTGATTAAGATGCAGATTTTGGTGCTGAAATGTTGTGCGAAAGTGCCGCAACTCACCCTTCAGTGCTGTTATTTTCCTGAGACGTCAAAGGACATTGCTCGGGGTCAGACATCACGAACATTAGCCACTTGATCAAACACAACAAAAGCACTGCAGGCTGATAAGATTTCAGTGCTTCAGACATGCACTCCACTGAATACATGAGGACAGCTTTCAGTGGAAACCACCAAAGCTGCAGTAATTTTTTATATGGGATTGTGTGTCCACATGTGCATGTATAAATGTATGTTCGTGTTCATGTACGTCAGTGGTGTTTGCCCAAAGGCTATGATGGAAGCACAGTGGAGCTTTTAAAAATGTCATCAAAAAATGACATATTTATTTATGTACAAATTATCTATATATTTCTATAAATCTATAAATACTGTAAAATATACATTTAAATAAAATATATTAAATACATTTAATCTGTTAACTGTCACTACTAGCGAGCTTGACACTAATTTTTTATTGCCTTTTCTCCATCACATATTTTAGTAATCATCCTAAATTAGACATCATTTGTGAGCTTAAACATTCAAAATTCATCCTGTGAAAACCGTTTTGAAATTGAACATTGTTACCATAGGAATGGTACTTTAAATCCCTTTAGCAGGCTCCTCCCCTTGGGTGTCGTCAAGTATCATATTACAGAATTTACTACAATATTTCATAGTTACAACTTTCTCTAATCTTTCTAACACATATCGTTTGAAAGGTCTGAGTCTCAAGATTCCAAGATTTGTGATGGAAGTAATACTGTGACAGAGATTTATAAGATAAATGCACCAAAAAATGTGGGTGTCACCTGGTGGTTATTTTGGTATAGTGCTTAAACAAAATCTCGCAGGAACCTCAATTTTTGTGATATCAACTTAAAATTTGGAACATAACTTACTTAGAGATATGGATTTGATTTAATAGCCGTTTTAGATTCAAATATATTTTGTAAAATATTTATTTTAATTTAAAAATGTTTAAAATTTCATTCATTACATTCATTTGCTAATGTAAATTAATATAAAAAAAAATTTCAATCAGCTCTAATACATGGGGAGATCCAGGATTAAGCAGAATGAGCTTGTTATTCCCTTGTTTCTCTCAGTTGTTGAGCTGACGAAGACCCTGGTTCACACCGTTGTTCACAGTAGCTGTACACATAAAGTTATCTGGCAGCATACGAAACATAAGAAAGGCGCCAAATGTTCCTTATCGTTACGCAGGTGTCACCAAGGGAACGTAACACTTGCAAACGCCCACACTATTTCCTAATTTATCCTACAACCCATGAGTGCTTGATCGCCATGGGAACAGCTGATCACCCCCGACGGGTTCCCTTACCCTGAAACACAGTCTGGTGTCTCATGGGATGCTAACAGATCCCATAATATTGAAGCCAAGGACACCAGTGCTTGCTGGAGAGATGCTCAACCCGCAGCCGGGGTGAGTTTTAGGGTGATAGTAGGTGATTGTGACAAGGACGTGGGGCAGTGACTGCAGAGTCTTATCCTGACAGCAATGAATCATGGGTGCTTTAGACTGCTGGCAGTGTCAAGGCCAAGAATCAACCTAATTTTTGTCTCTTTCTTTGTTGAACTGAAGTATTTATTTTTGATGGTGTAAATATCCCTATCAAAAAGCACATATATAAATAAATATTTAAATATATATACATGAAATAAATTAATACTTTTGTTCAGCAAGGACACATTAAATTGGTCAAAAGTTACAGTAAATCATAAATGTTACAAATAATTTTTCTGTTTTAAGTAAATGCTGTTCTTTTGAACTTTCCATTCATCAAAGAATCCTGAAGAAAATCTCGCTTTCCACAAAAATATTAAGCAGCAACTGTTTCAACAATGATAATAAGAAATGTTTATTGTGCACCAGATAAACAACATATTAAAATCAAAACTATTTATTTTAAATTTTAATAATATTTAACAATATTAAAAAATGCAGGAAAAAGTTAGAAAGTGAGTTTTAATGTTTTGACTCCTGATTTTCATGAAAAAAGTAATAATTCTAAAAATAAATAGATAAATAGTTTTAATAAATGGTTTGCATCCTATACAAATCAGCACCATTATTATTATATCATATTGAATGAAATGAACAGGGAAATGTTGATTTGTTTACATCAGTATATGAGTGACAGGTAGACACCACATCCACTAAACAACAGTTACGTTTCTGGAAATGTCACTGAACTTATTTTTTTAAATTCTTCTTTAACTGGTATTATTACTGTAAAACATTCAGAATCAGGTCTGTTTCTCATTCTAATATGTTTGAGCGTTTCTGTGACAGTCACCAGAGCAAATAAATCAAGCTCTACTTGGAATAAAAACTCTGACTCACACTCCCTCTCTTTCTTTTGATTTCTTTCTCTCTCTTAGGCACGTGGGTGACATTTGGGGGACAGATTTCGGATGAGGCGAGTATTGAAAATTTTTATATTCATAACCTGAAAATGAACTTAACTCATAGCATAGATATATTCGAAAACAATTAATCTAGAGGGTAAACAATCTATTTACTCATAATAAATTATTTTGTAATATAATTGTTGAATCAGTTTTTGTTTTGTTTCGTTTTTACCCATTATTCTCATTTCTAAATCCACTCTAGCCATTATCACAAATTGGTCAGATAAGCATGTTCTGTGTTGACAGTCTTGGCAGAGAAGAAGGCTCGTAGACACATCATGCTGTGGTCTTCCGCATTATTCAAACAATAACATCATTCTGCCAGTGCCCCTTTCTGACACTCACCCAGGGCAAATGCACATAAATACTAGCGTCTCTTACATCATAAAAGTCCCTGCAGCAACAACTTCCACCACAAGCCTGTCTTTCCCCAGAGGCGGAGTCTCCTCTATTGTCCAATCATCCTTCTTGTCCAATCAAATTATGCGAGATGCGGACATCCCCGTTCGGTCCCCTTCTCCACATGTCATAAGTCATTACATCAGCAGCTGAACAGACGGTTGTTCCTCATCTGTCTGCCAATATACAACTACACTGACAGAACGGATCACTGTCACTCATCCTGACAGTTCTCCATCAAAGAGAGCTAGAGAGTGATTGTAGAGAATGCAGAGGTTTTAGCCACCATGTCAATTGTTCTGTCAACAGAAGGTTCAACTCTGACATGAAGATCATTGTATTATTACAGCAGTTACACAAGAAAAACAGATGCTCTTTTAGAATGCTGTCATGTGCAGGTTGCCATAAAAGATATAAGACATGAGAGCTATAGTCAAACATGTCCATCTAGTGCACATTTACGTAGAAAAACAATGGAAAAGCAGCACAGTCTAAATTGTGACCTTGGACCACAAAACCAGTCATAAGGGTCAATTTTTCGAAATTAAGATTTATACATCATATGAAAGCTGAATAAATAAGCTTTCCATTGATGTATGGTTTGTTAGGATAGGACAATATTTGGAAAATCTGGAATCTGAGGGTGCAAAAAAATCTAAATATTGAGAAAATCGCCTTTAAAGTTGTCCAAATGAAGTTCTTAGCCATGCATATTACTGATCAAAAATTAAGTTTTGATATATTTACGGTAGGAAATTTACAAAATATATTCATGGAACATGATCTTTACTTAATATCCTAATGGTTTTTGGCATAAAAGAAAAATCAATAATTTTGACTCATACAATGTAATTTTGGCTATTGCTACAAATATACCCCAGCGACTTAAGACTGGTTTTGTGGCCCAGGGTCACAATTCAAAATGCATTCTGCATGAACCGTCCCTAAGGTTGCGTTTTAAGGCTGTTTCATATGGGTAATGAAGACTCATGTGTCTCAGTAATTTAAGAGCTTGTGCTTTTAAATCTTGAAAACAGTTTTGATACTGCAGTGCAGTTTTAATTGATCTCATCCTACTTCATGACTAGCTGTTACTGTATATAAAATGATGAGCACAATTTTTAAAGGATACATTTACAAAGCATCCACACATAATAGTAAACTTGTGTTAACTTATTATGTGCATGAATGCCATTATGCTCATTACGTCTGCCTGAAAATCTGTCCATAAAGGCATGTATTATTTTTTTCTGCACCATGTGACAAACAATGTGAGGTGTAAAGAATGAAATCACCGTCAGATGCTATTAATTCCATGCCATGCTATGACACATACTGTATTCCTATATACATAGTGACAAGCGGGCTTTAAATACCAGGATGGAGCCAAGTGTTTGGAGGGGAGGGGTTGAAAAATAACAGTCAGTGCTCTGTGAAATCAACTGAAAAGGAAAATTGTTTCACGGGCAGAGCAAGCTATTGCATTTTGATGAAAATTTACAAAGATAAACTGTTTTTCTCTAGAATAACATGCATTTTCTGATCCTGTTCTGTCCCTCTCTCCGCATCGCTTCCTATCCTAACTGCACTGTCCATATGAATAAAAGTGACAAAAAATTCTGCAAAGGTTCAAAACAATATGTCTAAAAAGTACAAATCCAGCTCAACCCTGAATTTGGTTTGGACAAATTAAATGTGATGGACATAAATGTTAGAAAAATGCTTCACATGACAGTGAATCATGTGAAGTGGATTTAAAGGTGGGGTAAGCGATTTCTGGTAGCCAATGTTGACGTTTGAAATCACCAAAACAAACACGCCCCTACCCCAAAAGGGTCTCGCCCCTATTTTGATAGCTCCGCCCCACACATAACGTACGCAACCCAGACAACGATTAGTTCTGTGAAACAAAGCAAAACCAATATTACACCATGTCTACACTGGACACGAGTGGCGCGGTGTGACAAAATACTATAGAACTCATTATAATCAGTGATGCTGTCTACACCATATAGATATACTTATATACATATCTATGGTCTACACTGGATGCGGCGCGGCACGACACGACAAATCCCTGACAGAAAACAGCTGCTGCGTTCTATTTATGACGTATTGACATACATTTCAAATGATTTTCAACGGTTGCTTTGTCACGTCCAGTGTACTACATACTTTAGCTGTTGCGGCACAGACACGGTGTTACTCACCTATCGAGAAGAAACAAAGCAACCTCGGAGTCCGATCGCAGGCCTTCCGCTCCTTGAGTTCTCTCCAGCGCTGGAAAGCTGATCCGATATTTACACGGGTCCTACTTCTTGCCTTATTGCCTTAAGCCTTCTTTTGTTCCGCAGACGTTTTTTTCCTCTTTTGTTTTTTATCCGCCATTTCTATCTTTCTGTCGCTCGGCTTGGCTAATGTCCGTCCCGTGCACTGAATGCTCTCTCCTCCACATCATGAGTAGACACGCCCCTTACTGCTGACTGGCTACAAGTTTGTTTTGCTATTCGGCCCAAATCAGTTTTCTAAAGCGTTTTTGAAAAATCGCTTACTCCACCTTTAAGCAGCACTGTTTTCAGAAAGGTAAGCACTCAGTTATCCGTTTACACACACTTCTGAGCTCTCTGCAATGCTGACTGACAGCTGAGTGCTTGATATTGGTGTGTGTGTGTGTGTGTGTGTGTTTTGCAGGTGGCAGAGCAGCTGATGACTATAGCCTATGAAAATGGGGTTAACCTCTTTGACACTGCAGAGGTCTATTCAGCTGGGAAGTGAGTTTGACCTTTGACTTACAGCAAAACAGAGTGGCTAAATCCATCCAGACACCTTCAGCATACTATCTAACTAATCTAAATCTTTCATACTAGAACCTATTAAATGGATAGCATCAAGTGCAAATTGGGATTCAGCCAGTGCATAAGAGCACAAATAATCCTGGATTACAGTCCATCCTGTAAACTTCAGATCCAAACTTGCCAAGCTGATTTATCTAAACCTGTTAGAGGAAGCAGAAGGGAATTCACTATGATTGAATTGCACCCACTGATAGCATAATTTTTGCACACATTGCTTTTGCACCAAATTCACTAAAGGAATTATGCATTCAAGTCGAGATGCACACAGCCACAAATTTAGTGCTAAATGCAATTTGCATGGATACATTTTTAGGTTTGCTGGCCAGTTAGGTAGTGCATGGTGCTACAGACTAGAGTGGTCATATTTTTCTGTAGCTGTACATCATCACTCTACCACTGTCATAAGGCACCTTTAAAATGGCAAATGTCTGGATACGTGCCTGGTTTTAATGCTTTTCTCCATTCTTTGAGCATACTTTGATGAATTACTGCTGTCATGATCACTAGAAAAGTACACTAACATTCATTTTAAATAAGCTTTAAATTTCCTCCAGCTTTCTATAGACAGTACCCATAGCTCAACGTTAACTGCATCAGGCAAATAGCGCTGACGCTTGTGAATCTGGCGACTTCTATAATGAAACTCATGCATACAAAGGAGGTGTGTTTACCCTGAAAAAAATGACAGTAACTTTAAAGTATAAGATTAAATATATGCATAGCGTAGTGCTATAGTGAATTCACCTCACAGTGCCATGGAAAAAAAATCTCTCAAAGCAAGCACTCAAAATGTATCTTTCTTCTTCACAGGGCTGAAATAATCCTAGGAAACATTATCAAAAAGAAGTGTTGGAGGTATTTATCTTAGTTCTTTCATATTATCATTTTAATAATCAATTTCATTGGCCAAGAAATGTACAAGACCACTGCTTTCACACATAGTCCATAATCTGTGTGTGTGTGTGTGTGTGTGTGTGTGTGTGTACAGGAGATCCAGTCTGGTTATCACCACTAAACTGTACTGGGGAGGAAAGTGAGTATCTGTCTATCTGTTTTTTTTCTGCCATCTGTCTATTCATTCTGTCAATAAAATCTACTTTCATGTTCTCCATGAGATGTAGGCACTTCGATTTAGTCTGCTTATAAAGCTTTCTTTCTTTCTTTTTCTTTCTTTCTTTCTTTCTTTCTTTCTCTCTCTCTCTTTCTCTAGGGCAGAGACAGAGCGTGGGCTCTCTAGGAAGCACATTATTGAAGGTAGAGATTCTTCTTCTTTCGTCTAATTCCCCTGTCGTTTGTAATTGACCTGAACCTTTTTTTCTTCTTTTCTTTCTAGTTCCCTCCTCCTTTATTGATTTTTTCTCTCTTTCACTGCAGTAGACTGTATGTGGCCTCAGCACCCACACCAGCATTCATTCTTAAACAGTGTGAGATTCTTTCTCAATCCTTTCTGATAAACAATTATACAGTAACACATGCAAACCAAAATATTGATTCAAATACAGTATAGATACAGAAACCATTTACCTTCTACATTTATTACACTTCAAAATATCATTTTCATAATCTGAATGTTTTGTTGTTGTTTTGTTTTCCAGTAAACATGTCTTTAAAATAAGATACATGTACATGAAAATCATAATAAAGATATCAAGACAATCTTATTTTATTTATTTACTTACCTACTTCTTTACTTACATATTTAATAATTTATTCATTCATTTTGAGTTTATTTGTCTTAACCCATCCAATCTCAAGTCTGATGAATATTAAAAAATTAACAATTTAAAAAAAGATTTGATCACATACAAATTTAGCTGCCATTTTTTTAAAGGCTTTTCATTTGTTTGTAATGTATTTTTGTTTACCCATTGTTATAATCTGTATTTAATAATTTATTCATTCATTTTGAGTTTATTTGTCTTAACCCATCCAATCTCAAGTCTGATGAATATTAAAAAATTAACAATTTAAAAAAAGATTTGATCACATACAAATTTAGCTGCCATTTTTTTTAAAGGCTTTTCATTTGTTTGTAATGTATTTTTGTTTACCCATTGTTATAATCTCTTTTTAAAGAATGAGCTTGTGATTAATGGCAATAGTAATAAATGTTCCTGACACAACAAAGTATGTTAAACGACTTGCATCGCTGAATTCATATTGCCTTAATAGCCTCATGCATAATTAAAATGGCATATTTGCATATTCCGATTATCAACCACATGAAATTATAAGTGTTTGAAATCATAATCTTTAATTGAGTGCTTGCTCAAGAGTGGAAATCTATGTGTAATAATATTCAGATTTATCTCTGCTCTATTACTGTATTTCTATGAGACAGAGGCGGACGACTGATTTTCAGAGAGTTTAATATCTGTAATGCCATTTCTGTATCACTTTCAGATTGAGAAAATTCACTGTTTGTATTTCATGAAACTAATTGAATCATTCACATGCTGTGCTCGTCCCACCCTCCCTCCCTCCTGTTCTCCAAGTTATTTTTATCACTCCAGCTTGTGTGCAGTGTTCCTTTCTGGCTCGCCTCTCTCTACCCTCCTTGCTTGTGTTTGTTTGACATTGTTTGTGGGCTAGAAAGAAACGTCTGTTTATCCTCTATGTACTTTAAAAAAAGCTCCCAGCTAAGAATATCTCCTCCACAAACCCAGAAAATTCTGACTGATTAGAGCCGTGGAGGATGCAAGGGCGCACTCCGTGAGCACAGGCCTGATTAATGAGGCTGAGATTGGCTGGATTACAGTATTTTTGTGAAAGGAGGAGTGTGGGGTTTATCTGTCAGATTAATTTCAGTATGGCAGAGTAATCATGCCAGCGTCTGATCACCTGAAAGCTATCTGACAACTTTGTTTCAACACACCTGGTGTGTTTACGCTCTCTCTTTTTTCTCTCAGCCAAGATTTATTAGCATGACTGTAAAGTTTTGCCAGTTCATTACTTTCACAGTACTTAAATACCGGTGTATGAAATAAGAAAAGCTACAGTACAGTGTGTGTATTATTTGAAAGAAAAGCTTAAATAGAACGAAGAATAAATGTTTTTCGCGGAGTTCAGATGAGTGACCCCAAAAAGTATTTGGACACTTAAGCAGCAATCAAAAAATGTTTGAATGCCATTGCATTAAACAATAAAATGTCAAACCAAGTGGCATTTATTTAAAAGGTAAAACATCACAAGCACTTTTCATGCAAAACATTTGACAGAATAGATGTTTGTGAGGTTCACAACAGAACATTTTAAACAAATTAATACTTTTATTCAGCAAGGATGCATGAAATTGATCAAAAGTGACAGTAAAGACATTTGTAATGTTTAAAAATATTTCTATGTCAAATAAATGCTGTTGTTTTGAACTTTATATTCATCAAAGAATCCTGTAGCATGAGTTTCACAAAAAAATATTAAGCAACTGTTTCCAGTATTGATAATGATAAGAATGTTTATTGAGCATCAGATCATATAGAATGTTTTTTTTATGCTGCTGCTGACAATTCAGCTTTGTCATCACAGGAGTAGATTACATTTGAACATATATTAGGAAAGAAAACAGTTATTTTAAATTGTAATAATGTTTCACAACATTGCTGTTACTGTATTTTTGATCAAAAAAGTGCAGACTTTGTGAGCATAAGATACTCACCTAAACATTTGCAAAACAAATTTTACCGATCCCAAACTTTTGAACGGTGTACATAATTGTCTATACTTTTATGTGACATTTATTTTAAGTGTGGCTGAATTGCCTTTTTGGGGCCATGTTATGGTCTATAAGGGATGAAATAATATATTGGTCAATACGATAACCGCAAATTATTTTTGGGTTCACTGTTTTTATATATTTATATGTTTTATACAGTAAATATGTAATTTTTTACGGCCGATAACTAATATAATGGTCGATATTATACATCTGTACTGTTTTGTGTTCATAGTTAAAGTAATACCGGTTTTGAATTTCTACAAGTTTGAAACAAGCTTATAGTTCCAGTATCACCATTTTCACAATATTCTTGATAATTAAAAAAAAAAAGCCTATATTGGAAAGGGTGTGACGTGTGGCCAAGTATGGTGTCCCATACTTGGAATTTGTGCTCTGCATTTAACCCATCCAAGAGCACACACACAGCAGTGAGTAGTGAACAAACATGCACACACGCACACACACACACACACACACACACACAACACACCCAGAGCAGTGGGCAGCCAGTGCTGTGGCGCCTGGGGAGCAGTTGGGGGTTCGGTGCTTTGCTCAAGGGTCTCACCTCAGTTATGTTATTGAAGGTGGAGTGAGCGCTGGATATTCACTCCCCCCACCTACAATCCCTGCCGGACCTGAGACTTGAACCCGTGACCTTCAGGTTACAAGTCCGACTCTCTATCCATTAGGCCATGACTGCCCGATATCTATATATATTGGACGATATCATTATGGTCATTGATATACCCCTAGTCTATAGATAAACACAAATAAACATATTGCTTACAGTGCATAATATATGTTATGAACTGTCCCTCAGTGTTTGTTCTCTGTCTCTCTCTCTGTTTCTGAATGGGGCAATGATGTGACAGTCAGACTCAATCATTCATCCTTTTTCTGCTTCCTCATCGTGTTTCTCTTCCTCTTCTCTGGTGTCTACAAAGCTGTACTTTTCTAATCCTCTCTCAACTGCTCACCTGATCCTATTTTTGCTCTGTCTGAATTTCCTCTCTCCTCTCATCCCTCTATGTCTTTTCACACTTCTGGCTGTCAGATAGCAGCTAAGAATGAATGTAGGTCCTTAGGCAACTATATGAGATGGTGTCATCATTTTTAATCTTTCCTGTTTCATAGCTGAATGAAATTTAATTTACTTGCCCTCGTGTTGCTTCAAACCTTTTTTTCCCACAAAACAACAAATATTGTATTAGGCAGAATGTTTATACTGCTCTTTGAATGAAAGTGAATGGAAATTGGGGCTGTTTGAGCTCCAAAAATGAAAAAAAGCAGCATAGAATTATCACAAATGTGATTCATACAACTCGTGCATTATATTCCATGTCATATCCAAACCATTTGATAGTTTTGTGTGAGGAACAGACCAAAATTGAAGCTGTTATTTGATGAGCGTCTTTCCTACAGCATACTAAACGGATCCCAGACCATCTTTTCTAGTGGATTTAGATGCAGTTTTGGATTCACTTTCACACCAACCAAACAAATTATACTCTGAATACAAAAAAACATGCACATTTTCTTATGCTTTCTCTCTGTGTTTTCTCTCTGTAGGTCTGAAGGGTTCTTTGCAGAGGTTACAGCTGGAGTATGTGGATGTGGTTTTTGCCAATCGCCCTGATAGCAACACTCCTATGGAAGGTAGGTGAGGCTTAGGTCCAAAACAAGTGTCACTACACTGATGCTTCTAGCTTTGCAAGCTCTATTTTGTGCATCATTGCATTCTGAAATGGGTTAGAGGCAATTCGTAAAGAAATGCAAGTATGCATTGCTTGTATAAAACTGTCGCAAGAGCTTAAACTAAACTGTCAGCAAGTTTCTCTTTACTGTAATAGCAGTGCAGCAGTTTAAAGAGAGTCTTGGTGAGCAAGGTAAAGTTGATTTCTTTTAACCCAGCTACCTGAATAATGGCAGACATTTGAAGGAAAGTATTTGTTACCACCCAAGCAATGCTAGAACACAGTTTATGGACACTACTGTTCAAAAGTGTGAGATAAAATGTTTCTTGAAAGAAGTCTCTTATGCTCACCATTTATTTGATCAAACAGTAATATTGTGAAATATTATTATTTTTTTCCTATTTGAATATATTTTAAAGTGTAGTTTATTCTTGTCATGGCCAAGCTTTATATTTAGCAGCCATTACTTCAGTCTTCAGTGTCACATGATTCTTCAGAAATCATTCTAATAGGCTGATTTGCTGCTCAAGAAACATTTTTTTCTTATCAATGTTGAAACAGTTGTGCTGCTTAATATTTGTGTGGAATTCATAATACAGGATAATTTCAGAAATCTTTGATGAATTTCAAAATCTTTGATGAGTTCAAAAGGAAAACATTCATTTGAAAACAAAATCTTTTATATGTCTTTACTATCACTTTTAGTTAATTTAATGCATCCTTGCTGAATAAAAGCAAGCCTATTAAGTAGCCTATTCATTTCTTTTTTTAAATCCCGATGGCCCCAAACTTTGGAACGGTGTGTGTTTACTGTGACCCTGTGCTTGGGGCCTTGGCAAAAGTCACCGAAGTCTTTTTCTGCATACTAGGTCTAAATTGTGTGTGTGTGTGTCTGTGTGTGTAAAACAGGATGTAGGGTGCTATTTCCATACATCTCAGGAGGCCATTTTTTATAATCCCAGTCTAACCTCTCTCTCACTCCCTTTCAAATTCTGTGGCACTGCAGTGCTCAGGAAGTCTACTTCTTATAGTCTTCTCTCTCTCTCTCTCTCTCTCTCTCTCTCTCTCTCTCTCTCTCTCTCTCTCTCTCTCTCCCTCTCTCTCTCTCTCTCTCCATCTCTCTCTCTCTCTCTCTCTCTCTCCATCTCTCCATCTCTCTCTCTCTCTCTCTCTCTCTCTCTCTCTCTCTCTCCCTCTCTCTCTCTCTCTCTCTCTCTCTCTCTCTCTCTCTCTCTCTCTCTCTGTATCTCT